CTAAACCACAAAAACCCTGAAAAATAGAAAAAAAACCCCCAAAAAAACCAACGAGGTAAAACGCCATTGAACAGAGTTTGTTTCATTGTTTGCATAATACTTTTTTCTCTCTCCTTCAAAATGAAATTAAAATAATACACATTTTTGTTCCCAATGTGGCTCAAAGGTGCCACAATTTTCAATGGAGGTGCATGTGAGCTACACAGTGTGTTCTGAATGGAAAGGAATGGAAATCTTATTCCCCACCTTGCATTGTGGACCTTATTCCTGTATGCAAACCTTTCTCCTGGGAAAAATTCATACATGTACAGTTGAATGATCTTATTTCATCATTGGCATTATCTCAGGCAGATCATTTCACATTCTTAAAGGATCCACAGTGCATCTTTTCAGTAGCATAAATTCAGCTGGCTCTTTTAGAAATTCTGCCTTTGTTTGGCAGGTGAATGACACAGCAAAAGCACCGTGGAAGAAACCTACTTTTTTTTTTTTTGCTTTTGCCCCAGGAATTATTTTATTGCTGATTAAAACCTTCCATGGCACCACGATTAGGCCCATGTCTTTACATTAATTGGCCTCCATGTGGGGCCTAATTTTGTGTCTCTGCAGCTGCACTGAGGGAAATCAAACTTTAGAATTCACTTTTGCACTGCACGAGTTGTTTGCTAACACAGAATGACAGCAAAGTGAATTTTCCAGCCCTTCCTTTTCCTGAGAGCCTGGGAACAAGATTGTTTTGGACCTTCTTCAAGCACTTAAATTTAACTTATGTAAAATCTGACTGTTGTCAGGAAAGGCTGCTGCATATTCCTAAGGCATCTCTGTAATTGCAAATATAAAATTCAGCAGAGCAATAAAAAATCTAGCTTCAGAGTTAAATAAGGTGAATAATGGAGTGAGAAACACAAAGCCCTTAACACCTGCACTGCTGGCACAGACTCCTGGGTGTGTTTATCATTCAGTTTGTCACCTGTAGGGTGAGGGATAACAAATCCAGGGACAACACAGGCTGCCGTGGCTTTGGAGTAGGGCTTCCACAAAGGCTGCAAACTGTGCCAGCCCCTGCATAGCCAGGGCTGAAATCAGTGTAGCTCAGGTGAGGGTGGTGGGCACAGCTGGGTGCCAGTCCAGTCCCAGTTTGCCAGAGCTGTAAATCCGCGTGGGTCCAGGTGGTTGTGGTGGGCACAGTTTGGTGCCATCCAGCCCCAGGGGCACCCCGAGGCTGGGCTTTGCAGTCCAGGTAAGGCAGGGCTGTGCCCAGCCCGGGGCTGGTGCTCTTCTCTGGGGTCACTCCTCGCTCCTGGCCAGTCCAGGCGTGGCTTAGCTGGACAAATGTCCCCCATTCCTCCATCCAGCTGTCCTGGGGCTGGCTGGGCTCAGCAGGAGATCACCAGGGGGTTGGACAGGGACTGTGGGCTCTGTGCCTGCTCCACGGGCTGCTTGTGCAACAGTTCACAGGCTGCCAGCTCCTGCTGAAGGGTGTCCAGAACTTCAAACAGCTGGGCTTTGCCTTGGGAAAGCAAATTGCAAGCATGAGCATTTGAACAAAGTCAGGAAGTTGCAGTTTCACAATCATAACAGGCTTTTTTCTTCACAGGTGCCTTTTCAAGTGGTTATCATAAAATGTCTAAATTTTGTGACCAAATAATGAATTTCTGCCCATAAAAAACATGAGCATATCTGGGTTCAACTGTCTTCTCTGCTTTCCTCTTGCTTAATTTCCTGCCCACTGAGGTCTCATATACTTGTGTGAACAAAGACTATTGCATATCACCATTGCCAACCCAACCATCACTTTGGCTTGTCAGAGGAGAATGGGAAAGGTTGGGAAAGCTGCTGAATCCTCCCCAAGTGCACAGGCAGTCAGTGGAAAGCAGAGAAGATGAGCTGTGTATGGCAGTGGAGATGCAGAATGCACAGAGAGCAGCACTTGGAGTTTTGGGGAACTGAGCTGTGCTGCTGCTACAAAGGGAGGAATTTCGAGCAGCATCCCTTGGTATTATTGCTGCTGCCAGTAATGAAGGGCTGGGGCTATTTTCAAGCTAAGAACGATTTATTGCTCAGATAAACATCAGTCTCAGAGGCTCTGAGATTCTAGAGGATCAAACATTTGGCCATAGCTCACAGTAGTCACAAGTGCTTTCTTACACGGCAATACAGAACTTTCTGACCCAACAGAGAGTTGCCACAGAATTTATTTTGCTTTTCTAACCCATCGCCTTTACTTACTTGTGCTGCACTGCAGATATTTTTGTCCAATGGCTTCTGTCTCACTTGCACACAAATGCTTCTGTTATAACTTCCAAACTCTAGCTCGCTCCACACAACCACACCCCTACACGATAAACCCTTCACCATCTTATCAGTACAGGTTCTCACTTACTTAAGGCATATTCTTGCTTACAACTGTAGAAACACAAGTGTTTGATTTTTCTGCTTAATGTCTGTGTATTGTATTTTTACATCAGCCCAAGCTTCTTCTGAGGCTGCAGATCAAACTCAGTGTCTGTGGAAGTTTCTGTTTCCCTGATTCCCACACCTTGGAGTCCCTGTTCCTGTGCAGGACAATTGGCAGCACCTTCTGGACACTGTGCTTGGATCCAACAGGCTCTTGCTCCCCAGGAGAACATCAAACCCATGGCTCAGCTGTGGTTCCTCTCTGTATTGGTGTCTCCTGGAGCCTACAAAAGTCTGTCTTTGCCCTCTTTTCTCTGCTCCCTCTGCAGCTGAAGAGCACAGCTTGGCTCTGGGCTGCCTGTGCCCTGGATTGCTGGGCACATCTTTGAAACTGCAAACCCCAAAGGGTTCCCATGCTGTTCTCCCTACATCCCTGTAAATAATACTCTCCAAAGCTGAGCCCCCAGGCCACATCTGGTCTTTTCTAATCTTGTCTTTGACTGCTGCCTGCCTATTAAAAGCACCTCCAAGACATGTTCATTCCTTGGAGGGAAGTACAAATGCTCTGCTAATAGGAACAAAGTGATTAAAGCAAAGCCCTGGCGCTGTGATCCCTGCACAGCTCCTGCAAGGCAGCTCTGGACCCTTGGTGAGGGACAGGAGTTTGCAAGTTTGATTTTCACAAAAGGATCACGAAATGCTGTTATCAGAGGAGAGCAGGTTTGAGCTGGCTTCTGTACAGAACTGCTCTGATGGGTAAATCCTGTGCTGCAGAGAGGAACCCAACACACTGGGGTAGCAAACCTGAGAACAGCTGCATTATATACTTGGTCATTTTTCCACTTTCTTGTATCAATGAAACCCTAAAACATTTGTAGGATACTGAATTATCATCTAAAGGATGAACTTTAATTAAAAACTGACTAAAAAAAGCACCCTGGATGTAGTTTTGATGCATCACGGACTAGAAAGCATCACTTTCTATAGGTATTCTTCTTGCAAACCAGCTCCCTCTCCTCAGCCTCTACCCCAGGATTTGAAATATTCTTTTCCTACCCAATGTTTGTCCCAAAAGGACACTTTTCATGCTTCTTGGTCTTTAGGTGTGATTTCTTTTCTTACCAGGCTGGGGGGTCACAGCAGGATTCCAAAGTGCTCAGCAGGATTTTCCCCAAGGCTCGCTTTTATATGTTCTTTAAAAAAACAAAACAACATTATGGCACAAATATGTCCTTCACCAGTTTACAGATGTGTAACAGAACCCGTGTGCATTTGGGAACTAAACCAAAATGACACTGAATCTTGATTAACACAAGACTTGATATTTGCTTTATTTTCAAGCATTTTCTCTTACAACCTCCTCAGACAGTTTGTAGGGGGTTGTAATTCCTTAATATGGCTGTGGAAAGAAAAGTAACAATAATTCAGTGGAAAATACAGAATTCTCCAGAGCATGTGCCTAAACAACTGTAGGTGGCAAGGAGGGTAAGCAGAGTAAAAGCTCTTTGAGTCCTCTGCCAGGTCTGTGGGGAATGTGAACTGGACCTGGTGGTGTTATTTTAGGAAGGGTCTTCTCAGACCCAGTTCAAGGACAGAGCAAATGTCCTGTGACAGGGCTGGGTCTGAGATGCAAAAAACATTAGCCAAAGTGAGAGCACTGTAAAAACTATTTAGGATTTGGATGGTCTCTCTCATTGGTGGCTTTACATATGAAATCTGGTGGGACATTACATAACGTGCTTGGGAAAGCAAAATTTTCTAAGTTGCTGTCAAGACACTGGTGTGCTTTCTGGGAGATGCTCTTGCAATCAGTTTAATTAGCACTTACAGAGCCCTAAGTATCTGCAGGGACAGGTTGTTCTTGCTAAAACTTCCAAGAAGTGGAAGTGGAAGGCAGCAATTCTGGAAGGAAGATGCTGTTACCTCCAGGCAGAGCTGGCCCTGCTCCCTGCACTGGGGCCTCTTCCACCTGCTTGGCTGCCCCAGTGGGGATTGGGGCAGAGTGGGAAGCAGGGTGAGGATTTCACATGGCCTCAGCAGCACAGTGTGGGGTTTTATTAGTCCTGTCAGGATGTGTGTGTGCCTTTGGGCAGTCACTGCTCAGTGGTAGGTTCTGTCTGGAATGAGATATTTCAGACATGAAAGTGAATGTACCTAAACCCACAGGTTCTGATGGGTCTCTTTTGTCTTAGGTAGATCACATCAGGGATTTAGGAGATTCGTGCTGAACTCTCCTGGCAGTTTTACCTCTTTAATACTGACTCAGATTTACATTAGCATGCAGTTAAACAAAAGATCCTGTCTAGAAGGAAAAATACATATTCTGGAATCTTGCTGATTGCTCACTCCTCCCTTTTCCTTGTTTGCTCTCAATTTTGGTTTAGAGGGTAATGAGCTTGAAGATGCAGCTCCAAGGAGACCTCTAGGCTTTTAGAAAGTCAGGCAAAGGGGTCTGAAAGCTTTCTGCAAGCACCAGACAGTTCTGAGGGCACACACCTGTAAAATTCCATCCTGCTGTAAAGGATTTTGTACTTCCTAGAAGGGATGAACATATTCTCAAATTGGAAGGGACTACAAAATCCAGTTTTCAGTCCCAGGACTGCTTTCTCACCATACCAAGTCTTGGAGTTGTTGGAGGAGCTGCAGGACATCCAGGAGCTTCTCTTCCACCAGGGACAGCTGAACCCTCTCTGTCTCCAACATCTGCAGCTCCATCTTCAGCACCTCTTTCTCCTCCACCTTCTGCTGCAGCTCCCCGAGCCAGGGCCCTTCCATCTGCACAAGACACAGCAAATTGAAGGCACTGGAGCTTTTCCTTTCTTGCCCAAGGACTGCAAAGCTGAGTTTTCCCCCTTTTGTGGTAAATGGGGCTCACTCTGGAAGATTCCCTTGAAGGGATCATTTCTCTAATGTACTACATAAAGTGAGATAATAGGAGTTGTTATGAAATCAGAGCTTTGCTCTTGTGCACAATGGGAATTCATTCATCACTGGGTGCAGGCAGCTCATTCAGAAATTTTAAATATTAAATTTATTATATATTTTATACTTAAATACTAGCATTACTGTCAGCTTTCTCCCCTTTTGCATTCCCATTGTTCTCTATAGAGCAAAGGTAAGTTGTGTGCCCTCACCACAATCATCTCTCTGTCTTGCAGCTCCTACCTAGCAATTATCTGTACACTCAGCAAGGCAGGAGGATGTGTCTGTCCCTGGTGCAGTGGGAACCAGGTGAGGAGCACCAAGAGCAACAACCTTTCCACTGGTTTCTCCTTGCTTTTCTCCAGATGTTAGGATGAACTTCTCATTTGACTCTCCATGGCAGTTCATAAACTAATTGCCTTTTTAATTAAGCTGGCAGCTTGCATGCCAGCTCGTATAGAAAATAATTGGCATTTCTTTGTAACACTGCACTTGGCAGCACAACACTTTATTTTTAGACTTCACTCATGTTCTCCCCACCTATCATCCCCAGGTCACCACTCTGTCTTCAGGAGGAGCTATTTTTAAGTGTTTGCCTGTTGGAAAGTAGAACTTTCTAGACATGACAAATCTCAGAACTCTCTCAAACTGCTTTTACAAGCCTCAGACTGCAGTAGTTATTAATCAGTATTTGAGAGTGCTGCCCTTCAGTTGCCTGCTGAGTCTCTTGCTTGTTAGCCTTGCTGTTATTTGTCTGATTTTCCACACTGAGCAGGTACAAACAGAAACATATACAGCCATGTATAAAGCACTTCTGTCAGCCTCAGAGGTGGTGGTGGTGGTTTATTTATTAAGCAATGTATTTATTTGCAAGGTGCTCCAGAGGGAGCATTTCTCAGTCTTCCTATTTGCTTTCTGTTGACTACAAGGAGAGTTACCTTTTTGACCTTTTTGATTTTACTACTTGTCTGTTTTGTAGCAGCAAATTCCTCCCCTATAACTTCTGGCTAATATAAGAGGGCTTAAGAATAAATCTCCTAACAGGTTCAAAATGATTCATCCTACTGCTATTTAATTCATGTCACAGTGAGTTGGCACTATGTCTCTTCTTCTTCTCCTTGATTGCCTCTAAATCAAGAGTAACAGATTCTATTTTTCTTCTGGAATTTTGTATTAATCTGTTGATAATAGTGCTTTTCCAGACAAGCTGCACAGAACTAATATCCATCAGCAGAGATGAAAAAGAGGGCAGTATGATGCTGCAAAAGAGGATGAGCACCTCAGAATGGGGTAAAAAAGGAAAAGAAAACTGGCACTATCTGCAGGTATTTTTTTTTCTGTAGACTTGATGCTAAGCAGTAGAGAAGGAGCTTTCATTCCTCTAAAGAATATTGCAAGGATAAATTGCCATTGAATACTGCAAATTGTGTAAGGCATAAACATGATTTTATTCTGGTTTAACTTAATCAAGGGAGAAAATTATATGAAACAGTGTTAAAACACAAAGGATGGCAACATGTAAAGAAGCGGAATACTTTATTTACCCTTATGTTAAATATTTCACTAATTCACATAATCCTAACAGAACTACTGAAAGCTTTCTGCTTTAAATATGGGGTATAAAATATTCAACAAGCACAGGAGAAAGCAGACCACGGCAATGCACTATTTTTGTTTCATTAGAAAGATTTCTAGCACTTCTGTGCCCATCAGGGACTAAAGTCTGCAGAATTTAAATAGTTAAATAGAGCTCACACAGGACTGCTGGGACACAGCACTGGGGGTTTAAATAATGTGGTTATAACCCCTGCTCAAGGGGAGTTGGACATGCTGCTAACCTGAGACCTAATTTTATTCATATTTTATTATATTATTGATATATTATATTAGATTTATATATTATATTTATGACACAAATATGTCAGTCTAAGCCCAAGAAAAGGACAGAGTGAATGGGATAATTTACTCCAAAACAGGGAGTCTCAGCCATCCTGAGGGATTTATTGAAAAGTTATTATGCTCCCAGAGGTGTTGGATGCCTTTGGATATGGGAAGTGCTTCATCCACAGCTGGAGAACCTCAGTAAATCAAGGACAGTATTTGAAGGGCCTGGGGTACATCTCAACCTCAAAAGGCAGTTTTGGGTAGGAACCAGAGTAGAAATGCAAGTGCTGGAGGAAAGCAGGAGATGTCTGAGATGACAAACTACAGCACAACAACAAACATTGGCAACAGAGAGCAAAATGGCCAGAATAAAATACTGACACACATAGATGCAGCTCCCCAAAGATGCATAAACAACTCTTTCACTCTCTGCTTGGCACCTGTTACCTCTTCCATGCTTATTTCCAGTTTTTTCTCCTGGTGGCCCTTGAGTTCTGGCTGCTCTGTGAGGGGGGAGATTCTCCCTGAGAGCTCCACAGGGTCCTTCCCGTCAGTGCTGGTGGTCTCCAGGTAGGACAGCAGCTTTCTCCACGTCTTTTCATCACATCTACACACATCATTAAGAGAAAAGAGTTAGTGAGACCTCACAATAGAGATCTGCGTTTGCAAGAACCAGTTTTCCTGTGGAACTCTTGGCAGCAGGGGTCACAAATGAGTGTCTGACACTAATTAGGGCTGGGTGGGAGTCTCCAGCAGGCTGCTCCCCACATGCCACACAGGATGGCCAAAAGCCTTCTGACTGCAGCCACAGGTTGTGAAACGATCTTTGCAAAGGGCTCAAATGGCATTAATTAACGAATTTAACTTACCCACTGCCACAGCAAGGGAGCTTGGCCAGGATCTTCTTCACGTGGCCCAGCTGGGGAGCCCCTGCCCACTTCTCCTCCTCCTCATCCGAGGCAGCCTGGCCCTCCACGGAGCGGAAGAGCTGCTCCTCTGCTGGGAGACAGGGAGCCCTCAGCAGCACCCCAACAACCCAGCTACACCCCCAGTCTGAGCCAGAACCAAGCGAGAGCCTAAACCCCCAGAGAAACCCCAGGCAGGGTCCCCCAGCATCCCTGGGAAGGGGCTGAGGCAGCTGCAGCCCAGATCCCTATTTTAAGAGTCTTGAACATTTCAGTGCTCTCTTGTGGGTAACCTGGAGCTGTTTCACCTCAGCTCTCTTCTTTCGTCGAGTTACTCTGAGGTAAGTGTGGTAAGTGTGAAGGATCAGTTGTGGGGGGCAATTACTGTTCAAGGACACAATTTTTTTACTTGTTCATCTCTCTAAGTTAGTTTTTCTGCCTAACCAATCTTATTGTACTCAATGGAACATTTTCCCCTGTTTTAGAATCTATGAGCCCATTATTTATTTGTATGAAAACATTTTCCTAAAAAGTTGCTTGTTCTTGAAATACAGGTAGTGTAATTCTATGTGGAAGCTCTGAGCTGGCAAAGTGTGTGATTTGATAGAGACATTTGTAAGAGGAGGTTTGCTTTCTAAGTCTAACCAGATGAAGAACATGCTACAATGTTAATTGTATTTACATGTCACTATTTTTAACATTCCCAAGCAGCTGCTTGCCAGCTTCACTCAACACACACCTAAAATCCAATTTTATGTCACAACAAAGAGCTCTCCAGCCTGCAGTAAAGGTGCCTTGTAACTCAGAGTTATTGTCACATAAATGCTTTTGTGGTCTTTGAACTGGATGTGCCCAAAAAACCAAATCACTGCAGGAAAGCCAAAGGGTGCAATGTTATGGCAGCTGTTTGTGTTACATGTGCTAAACAGTTTGGGCTTGTCCAGAGCCACTGGAGCAGCCAGGATGTTTCCAAGGAGCGTGACTGTACAGAATATTAACTGCAAATGGTTTCCTTGGAAATTATTTTCACTGAGGTTCTGCATTTTTATTTACAAAGAAATGAAATATTTATACTTTTTAAGCGAGGGAAAAAAGTTTTGGTGGGATGACTCATGTGGCAAAAAGCAGTTTGAAATCATAGCTGTAAGTGATAAGTTCAGTCTCTCATTAAACACAGAATCATGTGGGGAGAGAGGAGTGGAAATGAGGTTTTGCGTCGGTCTGGGATTACAAGACTCTCTAGGGCTGGTTTGTGCTACGGTGATTTAACCTCTCTGGCAGTTTTGCTGCTGCTGGCACTAGGGATGAGAGAGGCAAGGCAGTGCTTGGGGCTGGCTTTGGGGCTGGGGTGGGTACCGTGGTCGGCGGTGCCCGGTGGTGCCACGGACGCTCCGCGGGTGCCCGCGGGCACGGCTGCTCCCTCCTGCTGCTGCTGCTCTGCTGGGCAAGCTGGCATCGCTCCAGTTCTGACCTGCAAAACAGGCCAGAGTGTTGTAGTCAAGACGGAGACAATGCAAAGCAACACGCTCCATTTCCAGAAGGCTTCAGAGCCTGTTTTTATTCTAGCATGCATGCTTTTTCTACATTCTGACAAAGCACATAAGTTTACACTTGACTCACTGGTCACAAGAGACAAGCAAAGTACTTATTGGAATAAGGCAGTTGCAGGTTTCTCTTATTCATCCTTCTTTCTTTCTTGGTTTCTATGTCAATGCCCTTGGTAGAAAATTCTTTCAGGGATAAACATGGATCTTCTTATCAAACTTCTCTCTGGCTCTCAGAATTTGTTGTAAAACCTCTTCCATGCCAGAGTGAGGTTGGCATGCAGGAAATTCAGAAAACCAAGATGTGCCCAGCATGGCTTTGGTGGGATGCAGCTGCTGGGACTTCCTGAAGAATGGGACCATCAGCCCCAAGGGCTGCCTGAGGTGACTTCCCTGACAACCAAAGGAAGGTAGATTTCATCTGTCCTTTGATAAGAAGAGCTGAGCAGTGCCTGTAACTTGTAGGTCAGGTCTAAGACCTCTAGGAAACATCTATGGAGTAGTCACTGTGGCCACAGGTACCTGCACCCAGTCCCGTGGGTGCAGGTATGTCAGGGAGTTGGATCCATGTCTTGTGAGCGCTGGGATGAAGCAGAGTCAGAGCCTGAGCAGTGAAAAAGAATGATCCACGAATGGTGGCACACCTGGAAATCAGGGACTTTCAGGTGAGAAGCATCTCAGAATGGTGTCATCATTGCTGATAGACTCCTTTGGGATTGTCTTTGAGGTCAATTAGAGGACATCACACTTACATGTTTTAAAGGAATGGCTTTCATGGGATGTCATATAGATCAAATAATGTAACCAAGGAATAGGAATCCTCAAAGGTGCCAGATTCCCTCTAAATTCTTCCATAGGTTAGTTTTGATCCAGCAAATATTGAGTATTTCCTTTATTTTAACACATTAAATAGCAAAAATGAGAGTTAAACCACTCAGCAGGTGGGTCCTGCTGGCACAAGTTGTATAACATGAGCTTTCTGTACAAATCTTGTGCTTCCTGCCAGTACATCCAGCTGCAGCTGGGAGGGGACTTTGGCTGCAGGGACAGAGCAGCTGAGGCCACGCTGGCCACCGGAACTGCAGAATTTTGTTTAACTCAGCTGCTGCTGAGGAGCCACACCATTGGTAGTTCCCTTTTTGCCTGTGAAACTGTAAGGAGTAAACAAGACCATGAATTTAACAACAGAAGTCAATATTTGAAAACATCTGTAGGGGAGAAGCTGAGCTAAACCTTGCTGAGAAGCCAGCACTTGCTTTGCCCCCTTGAGTAGAGCTGACTGCATTAAAAACTAATGACTTTCTTCATCTGCAATTTATGGCATTATTCAGCTCAGCAATAACTGGATTTCCTGTAAAGCCAAGGTAAACATCAATCCCAGGAAGGAGCCTGGACAGTCATCAGTTCTGGAAAAAATAATTCTGGAGTTATGCACAAATAAAATGCACTGTAAAGCCTGGATATTCAGAGTGGGGGCTCTGAGAAGCATCACAGAGCTTCAGAGTTCTGGACAGCAACTGGGGGACATTCCCTTCCCACGGATACTGCATTTTGCTTTCCTGCAATGTGCTGATTTTGTGGTACTCTACAGGAATCCTTTACAATTTCTTGACCACTGTAGTTGGTGTCTGAGCAGATTGTTCTCAATTTTGAGCTGCAGTATAAATTAAGATTGATGGTGTTTCAGATTCTAGAGTTAGTTCACATAACCCAGATGCTGGTATTTCAGTGAATATTTATTGCAGCGACTAAAGTTTTAATTTTCAAGAATTTTCAAGTATCATGGAAATCTTTTCCAGCAGGTGTGGGTGAAAGGGACTTGGAAGAGCTGGAAGCAGCAATCTTCACTGCTTCTCAAACACGGGTTTAATTCTTTCCTCACTGCTATTCATACAGCATCAAATGGGTCTCCATAAATGAGAAGCAGAGTGAATAAACAGCACATTTGTTTGGGGAAAAGATCAGAGGGGGAAGTGGCGCTGGAGGTGCCTGGGAAGGTTTGTGTGGGGTGAGCGTGGCAAGGCTTCCATGGAGACAGGGAAACAGCCCCCATTCATCCCAGAGCCTTTGTCCCCAGCATTATGGGCAGCAGCAGCACTGAAGAGGGAAGAGTTTGCAAAGTACTGGACCTTGAAGTAATGTCCATGACTAATTGGCTTTTAATTGGCTCTGCTGTATTGTTATGGAAACACGGAGCTGCAGGAAAACCCACCTGCTTCTGGTGCTGAGCAAATCTTGGGCTTCAACAATTTCTGACTGATCAGAAAATAACTCTGAGGAATTATTAACTTGTCATTCACAGACCTTTAACTCGTCTCTTTTAGAGACTTCCTTGGAGCAGATCAAACAGCTGTGTGTATACATTGCCCTGAGTGTAGTTATACTGAGAGCTACACTTTATTTTCAAAGTGTTGGACTTGTGGTTTTAACCAAAATGAGGTGTGATTTTTATTTTCGTACTATTTTTCCTAAGCTGTCAGAGTTCAGGGAACTCAGAATGGTTTCAGATTTGGCTTATTCCCCGTGGGAATTAGAGACTTCAGGTGTGCACATTTCGGAATTATTTATGACTTTTCATTTACAGTTGAGATTTTGTTTTCACGCTGGAGGTGAATGTCTGTGTGGGTTTTCTGAATTCATCTGTCTCTGGTTGGTGCTTTGAGCTCCTCTCCAGCAGAAATCCTATGAATGAACTTTCTGTGATCAATCCAGATGCTTCATCTCAGCTTTTAAATAGCTTGATCTGTCAGGCATTAAAGATAAATGTTTAAAAGCATGACTTTTTAGTGGCTATAATAAAGATCACTAAATATCCTGGCTTTATATGGGCAATTAAAAAGTATAGTTATAACTTCAACTATAATAGTTGCAGTTAAGGGAGTTTTCCTGTTCTCAGCTGATGATTTTCATTTTCTTGCCAAAATCACCAGCCTCTAGAAAAAAAATCATTGAAGTGATGTCCGTGTGTTTTCTTGCAAACCTTTCCATCTCCCTGCATGCTGGATATGAGCAAGCAATTGTGGAATGGTGCTGTCACACACAGCAGGACTGTGCCTTCCTGTCCTTCTTGTGGTGACTTTGAGCACTTTGGAGACAGCCCCAAACATTGTGCACACATTATGAAATGACATTGTTTGAGGTCTGCTTTTATCCCAGTCCACAAGGAATAGCAACAGGGGCATGTGGGAGCAAACACAGCCTCGCCCCCACACGCCCGTGCCAGAATTGCCTGGATACATTCTGCTTGTCCTTGCTGCTTTTCAAATGCACATTTTGATTTCTGTCTCTCCTGGTGTCCTGACTTGGATTTTACAGAAAGATGCTTGAAAGCCTGCTATAAAAAAAAAATAACTAAAATCCTGTGGTGTTCTGAGCACTGACAGCTCTAAGCAAGGCACTTGACATAAATCATCGAAGCCAGAGGAAGCAAAGCAGTGCTCCAGTGGATCATTTCCTTCTGCCATTGCTTGTGTAACAGCCCTTGCCTTCGTGTGTTCCTTCACATAGATGTGTGCAGCTTAATCCCCAGGAATCCTTCCCTTATCTCCTGGGTGCTGCAGTGCATGGCAGTAAAAATCAAATGTCCAGGGAGCCTTTCAGTGTCTTCAGAAGTGTCCTTGCTAAAAGACTACTTAACAGCTGGGTGAAGATCCTACAGAATTCCACTCTGAAAGCTTAAAAATGTGCCAGAGCTCTTTTTGATGTCTGTAAAACTGCAGCTATCCCTGAGTGTGGTACAGACTGAGAGCTCCTACTTACTGGCACGTAAAT